AGGTGCGCGGGTGGGGCAGGGGGACGCCCCCGCGGTGACGAGCGTGACAGCCCTTGGCAGGCGCTGTATGCCGGTGCCTGGGGCCTCGGGTCGCTAGTAACACTTGATCCAAGTGAGCCGCAGAGGGTGACAGGCGGATGTGAGCGAACATCTCCGGGAGGGGCAGGGCTGGCGCGGAGGCGCCGCCCCGGGATTCCGCCGGGCCAGTCTCACCTGCCAGGGCGGGCTTCGGCCCCGCACGCTGCCCTCTGATTGGCTGGCTGCGACCACGCACTCCTGCCGCGCACCAACCACGCGGGGTGCTGCACTCGGATTGGTCCGGGGGGGTCATGTGACCAGGGCCGGCGGCCGGCGGGTAGGGCGGCGCCCGTGGCGGCCGCGAACGGGGAGCCTGCCGGCTGTGTGCTTCCAGGGTCGGGGGTCCGCGGCGCCTTGCGCGGTGACGCCGACCCCAGGGGCCGGGGCCTCGGGTCCGTGCCCCTCTGCGGGGCGGCTGCGCGAGCCGCCCTTCTCTGCTCCTCCTGCGGGGCCCTGGGCCCCCGGGCAAGGGGCGGCCCTGCTTCTCCAGCTGCCCTTTGCGGCGGCGGGCGGCGCGCCGGACTCACCGCCTTCCCCGGGGGAGCTTGCGGGCCGCCCCCCTCCTGCCCGCAGCCGCCGCCTCCCACCGGCCTCAGCTCTCAGTGCCCCTGTACGACCAGTCTTACTAACTAGTGCGTTTACAGCCGGAACAGAGGAAACACTGTTTTGGAGAAGAACCCTTTCCCCACCTGGAATTTAACACTGATTCTGCAAAGCCCACCGCCCCTGGGCCGCCCGGTCCAGCTGTACTGCTTCCTGCCCTCCAGCAGCCCCATGCTCTTTCAAGATGCCGGCCGTCCTCCTATTTATTTTTCCATTTGAACTTTTAAATAAGTGCTGACAAGATCAAAATAAACTCATGAAATTTGGGTAGGAATTACATTCAAAGATTAAGGGAAAGTTGATAACTTACCCAACTAGGGATCCAGTACTTTTTTATTCAAATGTTATATTTTCATATTAATCCTTTGCATTGTTATGTTTATTACCTATTGTTCTTACAGTTATTACATGTTAAGCTGTTGTGCATATTATCTATTTTTGTTATTGTGACTAGGAGATTGTCTTTTCTAACTTTCCAGTTTGTTGGAAAATGGTGAGGTCTGTCACCCCTCACCCCTGTTCCCCTACGACCCCCGCTGCCCTCTGCATTCCCACGGCCGCTGTGGCTGCTGTGGCCCAGGACCTGGGTGGTCACTGGCTGTGGCTGATGCGCCCAACTTGGGCGGGGGCAGCGCTGTGGCAGGTGTGGCCACTGGGTGGGGATCTGGTTTTGCCAACCTGAATGTGCTCCTTGCTGGAAGATACCGTCTCCTGGTGATGCTGTCCATGGGACAGAGTCTGTGTCTCACTTGGGACTGGGATCTGCAGAGCCTCCTCAAGGGGGCACCTGGTCAGGCTGCCCGACCGTCAGGAAGCAAAGGTTGAGGCAATAGAAGGGCCTAGCCCTTTAGGAAGCAAAGACCCGTCTCCTGCAGGTGGGGTGTCCCCTTGGGAGTCCAGAGTTCCCTGACCTGGATGCGCTTTTCAGAGATGTGACTGGCTTTTGCACAGTGGACATGATTGGGTGTTTGAGTAGGGATGTCCTGGCCCTTGTCCTGCACTCCGGCCCCTCTCTGCCCTCATCGCCCAGTCTTGATTCAGTTCTGACCTTCCCTGTCCAGGCCTCCTCCTGCCCACTGCCCTGCATGCCCTGTACCCCAGGGCACCCCCTTCCTCTCTTCACCTGCAGAAGAAGGGCTGGGCTGGAGCTCACACGGAGGCTTCTGGGAGTGCCTACTGCTGTCCATTTGTGGGTAGACGGGCCTGGCCGCCTTCTGTCCCCTGCCCAGCCCAGACCTGTCAGGAGTCCCTGGGTTCCTAGTTAGGGTGCTTGCTGTGAAATCCCGCAGGGATGGAGGCTCTTATTCAGCTGTGAGGCCTGGGGACCCTTTTCCCTTGTCCTAGGTCCGGCTCTCGCAGGTGCGCCAGCTGAACTGTTATTTGTGGAGGGGAGGAAGTGTTCGGACCAGCATGTCTTGTTTCTCTCCAGTTTCTGGGGAAAGAGCTAAGACAGTGGAGATACAGTGTTTCCTGGCCATAGACCCCAACAACTCTGAGGAGCCTCCTGACGCCCCTGTGACCACCAGATCCTCAGACGGACCCTGGAGATGAGACGAGAGTGGGGAGGTCGGGGCCGGTGCAGGAAGTGCAGTCCTGGGCCTTGCGGCCTTGCTTCTTTCCTGGCGGTCCCTGTTTGTGAGGACACCCAGCCATTGCCATGGCAACACCCTAGAGGAGGTAAATAACCAACCGCCCAGCGGCCCAGCGCCGTGCTGC